GGCACCCGCCCCGCGGGGCCCCCCCCCCCCTGCCGCTCCGAGCGCTTCCCCTGGCCCTGGGAAGCAGGACGGGTGCTTAGGAGAGCTGTGTCCGCACCAGTCCCTGCCTCTGTGGCAAAAAATACCCGCTTTTTGCGTCGGGCAGAAATACCCAGTTTTAGCAGCGTAACTTTGGGCATATTTTAGTTGATTTGCAAGAAGTTCATTATTATTCCATATTTAATTTTCTATTTTCCCCCCCACTCTTCCAAGCCCTTAAATTAATACGGCCTTATATTGGGAAGGTAGCCTGCATTAATTCAAGGGCTAACTTTCCGTGGCCATCCAGCTGATCAGATGCTTCCGAGATCGGATGTCTGGAAGGTTTAATTTGCTCACCTCAGAATGAATTCCCCGAATCGCGAGTCCATCTCTTGCCTGCGTAGCCATATTCTATCTGAAGCACGGCAAGTTTTTTTTTTTTCGTAATTACACCCTGGTGATTGCTTTCCCATATCGGGTTTGGACCGAGAAGGCTGTGTTGCATGCTTGGCCCCTTGTTTGAGGAAAATAAGCAAGAAAGGAGCGTTTCTTGTCACGACAAGACTCTGACGGGCAGCTGCCACCTCCATGGGCTGGCTGTGCGCTGCAGGAATATCACAGGGCTGTCCTTGGGGCATTAAAATAGTTTCCACAACAGCTGATTGAGGTAGCAAGCCCCGACTTTCCTTGCTGCCTGGGCGCATTCAGGGGCAGAAAATGAGTGAGTCCAGCTTAGTAACCCCGCAGACCCGCTCAAATATCTTCACGTATTTTGGGGAAGGAAGGGCTTAGCGTGGGGTGTCGTACTGATGTTCTTCCCCTTGGATCATGGAGAAAGTTAGTGTTTCTGTGTAGTTTTTTTCTGATATCAATGAAGTATTGTCTCGACGGCAGGAAACCAAGGAATATTGATTCTAGCCCCAGTTTAGTCCTTACTTCTCTCTAATTTGTGAGGAGAGAGCTTAGCGTTGGTACCGCTGTTGCCTGTTAGCAAGAACTGTTCTTACAAGGAAAAAATAGCAGTATGCGTTGATGTAATTTGTAAGGAAAAGCACGACACGTGAGAGATGTGAAACGCAGCCTGTGGTGCTCTGTTTGCTTCAAGTGCAGTGCCTGACGCCCTGGGAGCCCTGAAACCACAGAAAAGCTCCCACGGATGCAATCTCCTATGTATCACTTTTCCGGAAATCCTGATTTTTTTTTTTTCTTCTTTTTCTTCTTCATTTGTGAGTACTTTGGTATGACTGCAAGCACAGACTGATAGAATAATGATATTCTGGCTTCTTTGCTCTGTCCTGGGAAGATACATTAATTCCTGTCCAGTCACCTCTGCAGTCCTGGGCACAGACACCTCCCGATTCTCACAACGCAGGGACTGCTGAAGATGCTTGTAATTAGAGCAAATTGGCGATGCTCTGAGCGAGCAGCGAGGTGCCATTTCTTTAAGAGCTTTTTATTTCACATTAGCTGAGGTCACCCGCGCTATCCCTAGGAGAGCTGGCGCGGTTACCGTTGACCTGAAAAGCCACAGAGTCTATAAATGTTTCACGGTTTAGCTGAATCTTGATTGCATGGCACTTTAAGCGTATACGCTGTCCGGTTCCCCAAAGCCGGCCACCTCCGAGTGTGCTGGCCGGGGCAGGAGGGTGAACCTGGCATTTGGAGCGGGATTTTATTTTATTTTATTGTATTTTTTTTTCAATTTCGTATGCTATTTTACTCTGCAAACTTTTCCGTGAGCTGACGCGTGGGTGTGGTGGGGATGACGTGTTGGAGGGGTTTGGAGGAGCTAAATGCATACGTGTAATCTTGGTGTACGCTTTCATGAAGCGTGCTCTGTGACACCGGCTGGGACGGAGTCTGCGCGGCTGTCGGGCTGGTGCTTTTAGTTCTTTTCTGTGTCTCCTTTCGAAATGACCGCCTGCCGTGGCTCAGAAGGGAGCCAGGGCTCAGCTTGGCTTGACCTGGGGGCTTGAGGGGGAAACAGCGGCCCCTGTTTTGACCTCCTCGAGGTGGCGGGTGTGAAGCTGTTTTTATTTGGTGTGTCCCAGGGAGCAGAGCAAGCATTTGTTAGGTCTGTAGTTTTAATTCTTGCGCGTGTTTCCTACAGAAAGGACTAATTAGTGGAGTTGCGGGAGGAGCAGATTGATATTTGGTAGGGTGGATTCCTCCTGGCACCGCTAGTGTTTCTATTTAAGAGATCCTGTGTTATTAGTCCAATAAATAGCACTGAAACACAAAAGTAAATGATTTGGGATGAATGATTTCTTACCACCTCGTTTTTCTGGAGGATGCAGTTATGAACAGAGAAGCAATTAAGGCTGTTGGCGCTGTCTCTGGGGTTTATCCCATCAAATCAACGGGGTAGCGCTGCATGGTGTATGTTTTAATGCAGCAGATCCGTCTGAGTGTCTGACTGACTCGTCATGTCAGACATGACATGCATAGTCTGAGCCCTGGCTTTGGGAAGGAGCTTTCCTTTCCCACAAGGATGTTAATTCCAAAATCCTGAAGTCACTGGTGGCCGCCAGACTTCTGTCCACGTGGGCGTGAGCATTTTAAATTCTGTCCCTTCTTGCAAATACCCACTGTCACAAGAGACCTGAGTGCCAGCAGCCCTTTTAATGATGCTTGGGAGTGCTCAAGGGCAATATCAAATGGATACGGTGTAGTCTCCGTTGCATAATTTTAGCATGATAAACATTTTAACGCTGGGAGGACTTGGGCCGTAGCGAAGCAACTGGAATCTGGAGAAGCGGCTCGGAGCGAGGTGCCGACAAGCTCCCGACCCCTGTAAGACCGAGCGCAAATGGAGATGTGGGAAGGGGATGGGATTGAGTAGCTGAAAATGCGCTGCATGGGGGAGCTGAACTTCATCTTTCCTGGCACCTGGGTCCTTGGTGGCTGCTCTGCAATGAAGATTTTGAAAAAAGATTGCTAATTCTCACTCGGTGATGGGAGTCTGAAAGCCATTTACAAGATTAAGGACCAGAAAGTTGGCAACTTGAACTTCTGTGAGCTTGGGAAACTTGAGAAAATCTTGCTCATGGGGCTGAGACGGGTAGGGACGGCGCGAGGAAGAATTTAACCGTTCATCTGTAGCCTTAATAAGAGGCTGACCTTTCCATCATGTTCACAATTCTGTCACTGTATTTGGAGGCATCTCAGTTTAAATGCTACATCAATGTCTGGGAACCGCAGAAGTCAATGGTGTGTCTCAAAATCGCGTACGAGTTATTTAGAGGAGGTGAGGGAAAGAACATGAATCAGCAGCTTGGAATATCAGCTGAGCTAAAGCAGAAAGGGCAGTGACCGAGCGAGCGTCCCTGCAGAGCACCCTGGCCTGCCGAAAGCGTCCCTTCCCCCAGGCAGTCCCCAAAGCCACCGGGCAGCGGCCGCTGTAGAAACCCACCTGAGAAGCTTTGCAGAAGAACCGGTGGCCTTGGGCTTCCCTGACTCTGTGCAGGGCTCGAGGCGTCAAAGCACACGCAACCAAAATGCCCTCCTAGGAAATCTGCTTGCGGCTTTGTGCGTGCGGCTGAACTCCCTGGGAAGGGGTTGGTGGTGCAGAATAGGAATGCTTTAAACCTCTGGGGTCCTGCCGTCGGCCCCTGCTCGGGGACACATGTTCTTCCTGAGACCGAATGTGGCTAAAATACCGGCTTGAAGTATGTTCTGTCATAGTAAAACACATCTATGAACAGCTATATCCCTTTTCTTTAGCGACCCTGAAATTTAGCCTGCTCAGACCTTTGGTAGGAGAATCGAGCGCGAATTTGTGATACCGGTCGCTCGTAAGGATCTCTCGGTGAAACGGTAGGGCCTGCAGATTTATGCGACCTTTGCTCGCTGGCAGGGAGCAAACCTGTTGGTGATGGCTGTCTCGATTATGGGTCTCTTTTGGAACATATAAGCATTACCTTGGAGATTATAGCTGGCAGGGAACACAAGCTGCTGGATCTTCAAACCCATTTATCAGTCTGCTTGCCATTTGTACCTCCAGGTGGAGGAAATTGTTAACCACACTGCTCGAAGGCTCCAGCGCTTTTGTTAACTCTTTATTGCTGGGCTCGGTAAAAGGCTAATATGGAAATGGAGGAGCGGTACGGGTGTGGACTGCTTCAGCAATCTTCTGTTTCGCATCGGCCCCATTGGGGCTTGTGTTTTTTGGCTTGCGGTTTTGGTCCATGGTTGGTTGGTTTAAACTGATCCAGAGCCGAGGAGTGAATCGGCTTCTTGAGTGCAGTGGGGGGAGCCACTGGCAAACCAGGTTGGGGTTACCTGGGCTAAAAAAAATATGGTCCTTAAACAAGGCTGGAATATCATAACATTTTAGTCTCGGCAGCTAATAATCCTCTGCGAACCATATGACAGAATTAGCCAGCGAACACCGTACGTTTGTAGGATTTCAATTTTCTCCTTGGCAAAGTAACAACGCAGAGCTGACCTCTTGCTTCATATCTTTCTGAATGTCTCTCGGTGCCTGTTGTTCTGAAGAGAGCTTCCCTCTCCTTTGTCTTCACAGATCCGTCTGGGTTTATTTTTGATGTGCAGTCCAATACTGTGATGGCCCAAGGAGGAACCTTTGAAAACATGAAGGAGAAGGTAAATGTGTCTTCTGAGACTTTAACTCACCACGCGCCGTGGAAGAGCTCCTGAACGCTCTATCTTCATCTCCTCTCTGAGATGAAATATGTTTCTGTCTGGGAGCTAACCGCAGCTCTGTCAAAAGCAAAATTTTATTCAGGCTAAATCGTCCTGGCACATTAAAGTTTTATAAGGAAGTCATCGTTTACGGTTTTTAGACTGCTCGCAGAAGGGTTGCTCTGGGCTCCGTGTGGGATAAAGCGAATGGTTTACACGTTACCCCGTTTTCTTCCCTCTAGATCAGTGCGGTGCGTGCAATAGTCCCCAACAGGAGCAACAATGAGATCGTCCTTGTGCTGCAGCATTTTGACAACTGTGTGGACAAAACGGTGCAAGCCTTTATGGAAGGTAACTGCGGCTGGTTTCTTGGCGGGGTTTGTGGCTTCGTAACCCGTACGTACTGTGTTTATGGGCCTACTTCAGAAGCAGCGATAGCCTTTGCGCAGAAAGGGCTGCGTGCAGTAAGTACGCCAGGTAGTAGAAGCTTGTGTAGCTGCTCAACATGTCCAAGTAGACTCTATCCACAAAGATAACTAACGGATGATTCTCTTCCCAGATTTTAGTTGGTGTTTGTTCAACTAGGGGTCAGGGCAGAGATAAGCATTTGATAGCTCCTTAGGTAAAGGAGGTTTGATACTCAATTACAGAAACTCTTGTTCCTGTGTACAAAATGGGAATGTCTTCAGCTTCGATAGCTGCTGTTTGTACTTTGAAACCTGGCTCACAAACCTCCTCTTGGGTCTGGCTGGCATGCTGCATTAGATGAATTTTCCGACCTTGGAAAAACAGGCTGTTGCTGGTGACAGTGCCTGTCACTTTGCAGCTCTGATTTCCGTGCTGGCCATCCCTGACAGCGGTGCTTTGCCTCTGGCCTGCGGAAGGTGTGACAGCTCTTCCTCAGACGGTGGGCACCCTGACACCCTCAGTGTCTCTGGGGCGGAGAAGGCCAGCAGCTATCTGACCTGAACGCAACCTTTGAGTTCAGAACATGCTCCAGCAGGGTTCCAAGTACCTAAACCTTTAGTATGACAGAGCCAAAGAGAAGATTTTTTTTTTTTCCTTTTTTTTTTTTCCTGGAAAGATTTGGCACTGTGGTGTAAGGGAGTAGCCCCGTTCAGCAGTGTGTTCCCAAAGCAAAAACGAAACCGATCCTTTTATTACGTCAACTAAGAAAATCGCTACTTAGCTGCAGGAAGTGTTACAGCTGGCTCCAGGTATGGAGGCACTTCCACGTGACCGGGAAAGAACTGGAGTGGATGCCTCGTCCACTGCTCATTGCTGCGTTTTGTTTCAGGCAATGCCAGTGAAGTACTGAAAGAATGGACTGTAACAGGCAAAAAAAAGGTAACGCTTTCTAAATGTACTTTGCTAAGGCATTCATCTTTTTAATTTGAGGCTTTAGACTGCAGGGAACAGTAGGCATTCCTCAGGATTTAAATGGGAAAAGAAACCGAAGAGCAAACGTGTATATTGATGTTAGCAGAACTGATGCACGGAGATAATCGCTAGGTTATCAGGTGCCTTGCTATTCAGGGCAATGATTTAACACGGTAACTTCAGTGCAAGTTATAAACATCATCTTCTTGCCGCATTTGCACTTAATTTAGTTGTCAGACACATTATGCCGAATGTAGCATCGAAAAAAAGGGTTCTAAACTTTCTGTCCTTGCAGTGGCTTTTATGCTGCTGACCCTCTACAGGACCCCTAATCCGCGCACACAGCCCCACACTGAAGTAAATCTTTATCAGGTCCATTTATTTCAACAGAGCTCTGTAATTCACTGTTCAGATAGTCATGCTGTTCCATTTTTCATCGGTAACCTTTGAAGCTGAACAGTTGCGCTTAATGCTGAGCTCTGTGGAAATATATTTCTTTTGTCACGTAAGCTTTCTCGAGTGTTTCGCCTAGCTCTTTGCTCAGACCTCTGTGAAAGGGTTAAATAAAGATTTGCAAAGTTTCAGCGCTTGATATTATAATATCTAAATCCACCAGGACAAGAATAAAATCATAATTATTCAAAAGGACTCCTTTGAATACGTGAAAAGCTCCAGTGTGAAATGGAGAGGGGGGGAAAAAATGTGACTGAACAGCCCCGTGTTGGGAGATGAGGGAAGTTTTATCGGAGCGAGGTCTCGCGGAGCACCCTGGCAGCTGCACCTTGCCAGCGAGCACCCCGAGAAGCGACCGGGCCGGTGCTGTGGGTTACAGCCACAAACCGCTCCGCTGTTGCCCAACAGTTACGCAGCCTTCATCTGATAACCAGCGCGTTGCTCTTGTTGGCACACCATCCGAGAGGATAATGTATTCGCGCCTCATTAATGCCACTATATCTGTCCTCATTGTTGACTAAATCCCTCCTACTGTTAATAGGATCAACAGCCAGGCTGGCTGGAAAAGCATTTAATTCAGCTACTTTCAACCAGTAAGCATAAGCTTAATTTTCCCTTCAGGAATTAAGCTTAACATTTTTTTTTTTTTTTCCCCCCTTTGTGGTGTGGATACCTAATCCTTAGAACAAGAAGAAGAAGACCAAACCGAAACCGCAAGCTGAATCAAGCCCTGGCCTCCCAGACCCCAGTAAATTGGTGTCCACTGAAGAGGAGCAGTCAGCAAACTCGGAGAAGGGTGGAATTAACGGTTTCCATGTCAACGGCTGCGCCCACGACACGGAGTCTGTGGACTCGCTCAGCGAAGGTTTGGATGCACTTTCAATTGATGCCAGAGAGCTGGAGGATTGCGAGTCTGCCGCGCCAGACATGCCTGATAGAACAGGTTAGTCTCTGTAACGTAGCGCAGGAGACGGGCACCGAGCGTTGAAAAAGCAGAGGAGCTGCCTCCTGCTTTTTTGTGTTCCTTCTTTGTTTTGGGTCAGCTTTGAATAGTGATTTGTTTGGATGGCTCTTCAGGAAAGAGCAGCTCACCTTGATTTCTGATTTTTTTTTTTTTCTTGTTGTGGTAAAGAGGCGTTCAGTGTTCTGCTGTGCTCTTTGCGTTCCCCTTTAAACAAGTGTGCTTTTCTACAGCAGTGCCTGAACTAGAGAATGGAATAGCAGACTTTGACACAAAATCGCTCATCATGCATCCTTCCCAGAGCCCTTCGTCTCTTAGACAGCGGCCTGAGCAGAGGAGCGCTAGCAGGTCTCTGTCCAGATCAGCAGCGAGCAATTCAACTCCTGCGTCCCTGTCTGTAACGCGGCTGGAAGATGTTCCAGTTTCACCTGCAAACAAGAAGCTAGGTAAGGCCCTGAGGGTCTGCGCGCTCTCCGATGTCAGAGCGGGTTGCTGCTGGCCAAATTCTCACCGCCTCTGCTGTGGTGTCACTGACAGACGCAGTGGTGAGGCATACTGGACTTTGATTTTAATGCAAGCTAACATGCTGCTTATTATCTGGCCAGTAACTTGCACTCTACTCCTCCTCTTCCCTACGCGCAGCAGGAATCTTGACAGCAGTTTAGATGTAGTGCCTGGAGCAGCAAACCCATATGTGTGAGAGAAGCAGGGGAGGAAGCAGCCAGTCTCGCTGCATACGCTTAGCCCATTCTTCTGTGCGCTCCATCACAGAGCCTTTAGCTTGTTTCTCATCTTTTGTGAGAATTTGTCGAAAGGCCAGAAGTTCGGACCAGCCCCGTTACAAGAAGTGACAGCCTCCTTCCACTGGATTTTTTTTTTTTCCCCTCTTTCATGTGCTTTCTCCACGGCTGAGTTCTTATGCTAACAAGTGGGGACAGGAGGGACCTCAGAGCCCTCGATTGTGATCGCAGTTATCGGACTTAGCTTAGGGAGGAGAGGTGGTGGTAGTTCACCTCCTTGCTGCATGGGAAAGCTGTAACGAGTGGTTGTTAATGCAGCTTGGCAGGGGCCAACTGCGCTCCCGCAAGCTCCAGAGAGCGTGGGCAAGGTGAGGTAGCCTGCTGGCAAGCTGAGGCCTGGGGACTAACCTTGGCCATGATAACCAATCCTTTCAGTTCCTGATTTGAGGAAATAGCCTTAATTTTAGTTTCTGAGATAATTCCCTTCCCCAGGCAAACAGTCCTTTCATATCATGTAGTGATACGGTGTGTTGGTCTTTGGGGTAGACCGCATTTCACTCGTCTCCAGTCCCTAGCACAAAAGCAACTCAGAGATGCAATTGATTTCTCTCATGTATTTGAAAATGTGGAGGGACTTCCCTGCCTATAGAAGGAAATACTACAAGCCTTGGGAAAACTTTAAGAAAATCTCTCAAACTGTCCCTACTTTGTAATAGGGAAGGGAAAGAAAAATTTAAAGCCAAGCAGTGTATAGTTTTAAAATAAGAGGGAAAGCCATCTTTAGATTTATCCCTGCTGGGAGGATTTAGCAGTGTGATTGACGTGGCTGTTTGAGTTCACTCTGTCTCTTGGTAGGTTCTAATATTGAAAAATCAGTGAAGGATCTCCAGCGCTGCACCGTCTCACTGGCTCGGTACCGGGTTGTGGTGAAGGAGGAAATGGATGCTTCCATTAAGAAGATGAAGCAGGTCTTTGCTGAACTGCAGAGTAGGTAAGTTGAATGTAGGGACAGAGCCAGGTGTTAAGGCTTAAGACCAATACATTTGGAATAAGACTTCAGCTTTCCAATCAGGTTAATGACTTAATTGTGTTTGCCCTACCACCCAAGCGCTGTTCTTCAGCGTCTGGGAGGTCGGCATGTTGTAAAGAATAAACCCGAGTCTAAAGTCCCGTACTCTGCAGTTTTTAGAAACCGCCTTTGTGGGCAGCTTTGCAAGGCCTGTGTTCGAGCTGCCGTCCCACACGTGTGGTGGGATGTTCATAGACTGCTCAAGGCTTTGGTGTGTCCATTGGGGTCTTTGAGGAACCGTGGCTCCGTGTCTGTACGAGGCCATCATAAAGTCATTTTAGACGCAGGTAATACGGGGAACCCGCCAGGTAACATACTGTCAGTTAGGTACTAATGTTAGCTGTGCTGGAAGGAGAACTGTTGGGAGCTCAGGGTGCAGCAGTATGTGTCTTTTAAAACAAACATTCGTATTTGAAATCTTCAAATGATGGTTGAATATAACATGGAAGAGAGGGATCCATTTGAAGGTATAAGTACACATCAAAGATCATCCTGTGCGGCATTGCTTCCCCCATTTTAAGCCAAGCTCTTAGTACTGTGCATGGTGTTCCCTACGAGTATAATCGAGTCTTTTTTTTAATGAACATCTTTATTAGTTTGGATGAGTGCTTTAAGATGATATTCCGAAAGGCCTAACATCAGATACACTCGCTGTCTTGGCTGATTGAATCTATTACTGAGAAATTGTTGGTTTTGGTTATACAAATATGATTGCTCTTGATAAAGAGATATTCATAAGGAACTTAGAGTTCTCAGAGTTCTCCTTGCCTGAAGTGAGTAACATTTGACAAGTAACTAAAATGCTGCTATCGTGTCGAAGGATTAAAGTAGATATTTGGCAGACTTGCAAATCTACGTCAAAAGCTGTCTATGTCTGAAAACTGTATGTGGCCTCAAAGCTGCGAGTGTTTAGTGGTAGTGATGTAGAGAGCTGTATTTGGAAGCCTTTTAGCAAATTTAGTTGTTCAGCGTGGACTTTTTCTTGTGCTCCTACTTGCGTTGAACTTTGCCACCAGGAAGTGTTCTCCTGAAGTAAGTGGAATGCTGTCCTGGGTTTAAATTTAGCGTGTGCTAAAAATACTGACGTAAATGTTTATAGATGACTTTTAAACTTACCTGAGGAGACTTGACCAAACTGGGGGGGTAGGGTTAAAGGTGTCCGTGTGCCCTGACCTGCCTTTGCATGCTAAGAGTTGTGGTCTCCAAGCCGAAGCTGGATGTGGAGCTCCCAGCACCTCCCGCCTTTTGGAAAAGCTGTGGTGTAAGGGGATTTCCCTTGTCGATAGCTGAGGGATTTGTAGCCCTAATTCAAGTTTGGGTTTATGAATATTATTTCTTAATTTGTTAGTGGCTTTGTCTACTGATTCAATATTATCACTGTATATGGTGGCTTTTTGTTGTTAAGTTTTTTTTGTCTGCCTCTCTGTACAGTTACATTCTGTCGAAACCTCTCCCTGGTATGGAAAATGTCATTCTTTTGGCTACCGTGTCCGGTTCCGTATAAGTAATTCCTCGCCCTTTGACTTACGTTATCATCTGCAAAACGCTTGCGTCACGTTCGGAAAGGTTAAAGACTCAAGTCCAGTCCTGCAGCATTGCTCCGATAAGCTGAGCCGGCAGCGGGTGAAGCAGGACGTGCGGTTCCGTGAGCGGGGAGGCGAGTGCCTGCCTGGAACGGGGCCACCGGGAACCTCCTTTGACAAACGCCGAGTGAAAGAGCTGCCCAGCAGGATGCCAGGGCTGCGCGATTGATAAACGGTGACTGCAGCCGGGGCCGCTTGGCTCCGCAGAAAGAGATTCACTTTCCTTTTCCCGAAAGTGATGCAGTTGCCCATGAGCCGAGGTGTAAATTGTACCTTCGCCTTTTTTTTTTGTTGTGGTTTTTTTGTTTGTTAGTTTGTTTTTCCAACTCCCTTCGTGACCCAGAGAATAATTAGTGTGTTTTTAAATCCTGCGGCGCAAGGCGCAGGATCCGATAGTTAAATCCTCTTGCTGAATTGCCTCTCCAGCTGGCTTTCTAGCAAAGGAAAACCTGGTTTTTAAAAGCAGGTTTGTTCAACTGAAACAGGATATCTAAGTAGTGAAGCTTTGACTGGTTTAACTTCTGCCTGTCAGGGCTGGCCTTTGTATGTCCTTTTAACCAGTGAGGCTTCCTGGAGTTCTTGACCTTCATCTTCTCTCGCTAGACAATGTGCTGATATTAGACCTGGGGTCTGTAGGGAGGGAAGGGTGAAGGAGGAGACTCTAATGCTGGGGTCAGGCCTGTCTCAATCTCTGAAATCCATCCTGTTTGTGTAGCAGTAGCTGCTTTGGCTTCCTATTTTGAGAGGATTTGCTCCTCTGGGCTGGAGATGATCGGGTAACCTGAACTAGGGAATCCTCGTAGTCCTTAATTTCCTGAATATTTTGCTATCCACTGACAGGGAAAGTAGTGCATCGGGGGGAAAAAAAACCCCTGAGCCTTTGTGGGTGGCGCGGGTAAGTTCAACTTCAGCGCCGCGTGCCGAGGTGGATGTGGGACAGGGTTTGAGGTTTCCCGCTGCGGACATCACCGCTGCGTGCCTCGTGGTGCCGATCGCCTTTGCTTCCTCGTGCCAGAGCTGCCAGGCATGCTTCCAGCCGCCTTCGATTGCGGTCGGTCTTTGAGATCGTTGTGCTTCAGCCCTAAGGAAAACTGACCCCAAAGCCCTTTAGCGTGCTCGTGCAAACAGTTGTCCTTCGTGAACAGCCAACATCTTGCAGGCGCTGCTCGACCGGGCTGGCTTGCAGCTGAGAGCATCTCTCCTAATGGTTGGGTCACAACCGAGTATTTAGCATTATTTCATCTTCAGCAGTTATGGGTTTATCTGCTTTCCCTTTTTCTTCCTTGTGCACTTCCTAAATGGCCTTTCCTAAAGCCCAGTCCTTCTGGCAGGGGCAGATGCGCTCTCCAGCCTGCATGGGATCTTGTCCCGGGACAGAGCAGTCGAGAAAGACAGGCGTGTTTCTGAACGGATCCAGCAGAAAGAAGGGAGTTTGTCTGACGAGAAGCCGTGCGGGATGGAGGAGCAGTGGGGTCTGATCCGAGTCACTCATCACGCGAACCTCAGGCAAAGCCACTTGACCTCTGTTCCTCAGCCAGCCCAACTGTAAAATTGGGTAAAGGACTCCAGCTGAGCTCTGCTGAGTAAATTAAATTACAAAGAGACGCAAGCTGTGATCTGTGCCAAGGTGCGTGCGTGCCTGGCGGAGAAAGCCCAAAATGGCCCACATAAAGTGGGTGTTGGCTCTGCGGGAGCTGGGTGTGTGCCTGTGTGTTCAGGGAGGAGGCGTCGGGGTAAGGCGTAGCGCAACCGAGTCCTGCAGCCCGAGAGCCGTGAGGCTGTTCCCGCACTCGAATTAATCATGAAGGCCGCATTCACACCCCTATCTCTCAGAGCTCCGGGGGCTTCCTGCTGCTGACGTGGCTCTGGGCAGAAGGCGGCTGGGGCACCTCCCTTTCCCCATCCCGTTGCTGTTGCAGAGCCAGGTCGAGCCGCTCTGGGGATGGCTGGAAACAAGGTGAAGTCTTATTAGCGTAGCTTCTGACATGCGTCGTTGTATTTGCGCGGTTGGGCTGAGAGTGCCTGACCTGGATCAGGCCCCTGCTGTGCTACGAGCAGAAACAATTCCTGCCCTGAAAAGGCAGATGGACAGAGCGATAAATCAACAGAAGAAGCCAAATGTCAAAGCTGCTGTTCAGAGGGAATTGTTTAAATTGATCTTGCCTCAGCCCTCTCTGACATGCAGAGGAGCGGGAGCGGTGGTTTGAGTTTGCATTTCAGATGCTCTGTGGTTTCCCTTTCAGATGGTCGCTAAAATAAATATTCTTCCCACTTTCAATCAAACCTTGCTCACTAAAAAAACCTGCGGTCGGTGTTGAAGGGCTGACCCTGTGCACTGCCGATATCGCTCCGAGTACTGTTTAGTGCCTGTGCTGCGAGTGTCACCCAGCTAACACCTGAGAGGAAGACTCTGTTTTTATATTTAGAAAGCAAAAACTGAAATGAGCCTTATTAATAGGCTGGATGACGACTGCATTCAAGCCGCCGGCAGCAGCTGAGCGAAGGTGAGCTGCAGCGGTGCAGGCTGAGGGCGTTGGAGGCGTAGCTTAGAGCGAAGCACAAAAGAAGCATTTGCAGGGAGGAGGGTGTCTGTGAGGCTCTGGATTCCTTACGGCAAAGAACAGAGCTGCGACCAGCACCCACCCCTGTCCAGAATGGGAGGACTGGTATTTCTTCTCCTGCTTCCCCTGTGACCCGAGTTACTTGGTGTGCACATCTCCAGGGGCAAGAGCCCTCTTTGCACGGCCTGTGAGCCGTGGGTTCTGGGTTCTGGGGAGCTCCCTGGCTGCTCTGCCTTACCGGCGGGTGCTCAATAGCCTGAATTTGCTAAATTTGGCCAGGCGGTAGCTGTGCGGTTCTGCTTGCGTAAAGGCTGCCACCGTGATGCCCGGGGGAATTGCGGTCTCATGGCAACAGACACACTTGAGGCATGCTTGGAGCCTTCTGGCAAGTTGAAATGCTTCACTGTGACCCACTCAGGTGTTCCCTCGGCGGCTAAAAAATCCTCAGACCGTAAGAGACTCGCAGCTCGTGGAGCTGTGTGGCTCTGCGTGACCTGCCCGGAGCTGCTGGGCTGGCAGGAGGTCGCGTCCTTGTAGCTGCCGCGCCGCTGTGGAAGGCCGTGCGTGCCCTCCCGTGGGGATCAGCCGGGTACGCGCCTCCTGAGAAGCGGCACGGAGCACTGGAATCCAGGTTTCTGGGTTGGTGGGCCAATTTGGGAGGCTTAAATAAGCTAATGAGGGCATAAGAGTGAAGCATTGCTTCGCAATGTGGCACCCGAGAGGCTGCTTTGGGGGGGACGGCTGCCCAAACGCCCGGCGTCCTGCTCCTGCTATCGTGGCTCCCCGTCCTGCCCCACCGCTCATGAATTTTGCGCTTTGAGTGATTCTTTTTAACGTTGCACCCTAGTTTTTTTTGGTGATAAAGTCCAGCGGAGCGCAGCTCCCCCCAGCGCCGCCGCTCCCTCTGCCCCTTGCCAAAGTGGCTCCGACTTCTATCGGAGTAAGGCGACCCGCGTACCCAGCAGATTGTTGGCACCGTCCTCCGCGCTGACCCAAGCCTGAGCAAGTTTTTTTAACGCCGGTGAAGCCTGCACGCAACTCCTCGGCTTCCAGAACAAAAGCCGGCGCTTGGCGCACGGTGTGGCGCGCTCCTGCCGCCATCTGCCGGTCTCTCCCCGCTGGCCGGCGCGCCGCTACCCTCGCAGTAGGATTTTGTTATCCTCTTTGTTTAATACTAAATCTCTTCCCTTTTTTGTGTAATTTTTTTTTCTTTTTTTTTTCCTCACCAGCCTTATGGATCGCGAGGTGGCGTTGCTGGCTGAAATGGACAAAGTGAAAGCAGAAGCAAGTAAGACTCTCGTCTTTCGACCAACAAGTGCCCACCTGAAGAGCTGTGGGTGTTGCTGCGCTCGGAAGGGACAGCCCCCTTAGAGGCAGATTTCTGGGATTTACCTCCTGTTCGCGGTGTTCCTAAATTCCTGTATCCCCAAACGAAACCTGCCCTATAGCTCAAGTTAACAGTACGTACCCTGCTAGGTTGTGTTTGCTGCTGGCACGGTTGACAGCACCCATCCTCTTCGAGGCCGTTGCTCTGTGCTCTCGTTAGAGCGTGGGGATGTAACCTGCGCTCTTCCATGGGAGGCCGTTCCTGAAAATCTCAGCATTCCCGGGGAGCTGGAAAAGGTTTTCTCGGCTCACCCGGTACGGGTGGGAAGTGATCCGCAGGGCCGCCCGCACCAGCAGCGCCAAGCACCGCCGTTTAGGGGGTGGCAAGGAAGCAGCTGGCCTGGGGAGGAAGCGGCAAAGCTTCTACCAAAGCTGTGTGTCGTGCCCCTCGTCGAGTCGGCTTACGGCTCAGGTTCGGTCCGTGCCCGGAGACGTAAATCCCCACGGGAGGGAGCGGCCGATGCTGCTGGGGGGGAGCCGGGGGAACCTGTTTTTTACCAACAAGGTGCCGTGTGCCGGGGCTGGGGTGGTTTAACGCTGGGTAGGCTGGTTCGGTGTCGACGCTGCCTGAGCTGTGGTCTGTTTTACAGTGGAAATCCTGGTCAGCCGCCAGAAGAAGGCAGAGGCCCTGAAGAAGCTGACCGATGTGGCAGTGCGAATGTCGGAGGAGCAGCTGGTCGAGCTCCGAGCCGACATAAAGGTGAGCTTTTCGCTCCGCTTCTGTCTAATCCAACCTAATCTCACCCAAGTGCGCTGCTGCGGGAATTACACAGCCGCTACCTAGGCCACGGTAGGAATTACGCAGGTGCCACCTCAGCAGGGCCCGGCCCTAAATCCCTGCTCGAAGACGATGAGTCTCCAGTCTGCTGAGTAAATAAGGGCTTTATTTATCCGACATGCACAGCGGCTCGAGCTGGGTGCCTCCAAGGAGGGACCCCTACCCCAGATTGCGCGCCCCAATTATACCCGCACTACTTAGCACCTAATCCCCAAGTCCAATCCCTTAATTCTGGTCTCTTGATTTCTTCCTGGTTTCCTTGGTCGCTGGGCTGGCCGCCTTCTGAACTTACCTCATTCTCCTGGAATCGTTTCCTTAGTCCTTGTCCTCTTCATTCCACTCCTGTCTGCTGGATTCAGCGAGTTCTATGTTTGCAGCGTTAGTTTTATCAGAAGGTTTACTCTCGGGCAGCTCTTGCAGCCTGAGGCTTCAACTACTTTAGCTTCTAGCGCTAAGCGAGGCTGTTAATCCTAACAACTCTCAACAGCCGTCGCTTTTTTGTAACCTTCTGTGTTTCCGACACTTCTGAATGCAATTTTGTGTTGCGTGCAAGTCTTCCCTTCCGTCCATAGTTCTCAAATTCACCACCGGTGCTCTGCACGCTGCTGTCTGCAGCCGCGCAGCGGGATACGGGACACCTTCATTTAAAATATTTGATTCATAAAATATCGACTTCAGCCAACAACCAATCATCCAGGCGTTAACCCCAGCACACGCAGCCCAACTTTCGGCCATTGCGAACGGGCAGAGAGCAGGGAACACGGCAAGGCCGCAGCTTTGTGCTCGGAGCGGTTGTGAAAACCTCCCACTGGCGCAGGCTGACCTCTGCCTTTCCCCCGAAATCGGGAGCGCCTGCCTGCTGCGCCCGAGTGACTTTTGTATTCCGTAAAAACGCTTCTGCTCTCCGGCGCGCCGGCTCCTGCCGCAAGAGGTCAGTGCGAAGTTGCATCAATTAAACTCCGGTTTGAAAACGAAAACTGCTCACTCCCTGTAGCAGGATTAGTGCAGCTGAGAAACCTGTTGCCCCTGTGAGCGTCCCGAGCCCTGGGCTGTGCTGATTTCGCAGACCAGAGCGGAGCTGCTGTTGGATTGATTTCACCTATAGCTTGGCTGCTGGGGCCTGGGGAAGGCTGTTTGTGTATGGGCTAAAAAAAAAAAAAAAAAAATCCGGTTTTCTATTTCCATAAGTCGTTTTAGCCATCTGCCTTCTTGCCAAGATGTTGGTTTTTTTTTTTCAAGCAGCACCCAACTCGGACCCTTGTTCCTGGGCCAAACTGGGAGGCTTTCACCTCCATTTTCTGTTCCTGTGCCCTGTAATTCAGCGTACGGACTGAATTAACGTGTGCCTTTTGCCTTTTCGGTGAAGCACTTCGTGAGCGAACGGAAGTACGACGAGGACCTGGGCAGGGTGGCGCGGTTCACGTGCGACCTCGAGGCGCTGAAGAAGAGCATCGCCGCGTTCGGGCAAGGTGAGCTGGCTGGGAGGAGCCAAGGTGTCGGTCACCCCTTTGCTAGGCCCTGTCGTCACCAAAACCCTTCATGTCTGCCCCAAAACTTGATAGTGGTGGGACTGGGAGTGTTCTGCTTTGGGTGTTTTGTTTCTTCTCAAACCAACCGGATGAGGTTGAACAAGGCCAAGTGCCGGGTCCTGCACTTGGGTCACAACAACCCCGTGCAGTGCTCCAGGCTTGGGGAAGAGTGGCTGGA